TCTTTCCATAATGCACCTCACAATGATATATTTATATAAATTTGCATTGTTAGATGATAATAATGCTCGCAGAACATGTTTCCTACAATTCGTGAGTGCTACAAAGTGCACCTGTAACAACATCCAAGAATTCTAATATGGTATAGAAATAAAATCGAATCGAATCGAATTTAAATTTGACAATTCAATAATATATTGACAGTTTATTTTGATATTATAAATAGTAAGGTAGGGCGGGGCATAAAGATCTAGTTTTACTTTGAGAAATAATATTGTGAAAAACAAACCAATTATATCACAACAAATAATACATGTCAAACAAACAACTATCTGATTAAATGTAGCAAAACTCCTACATATTCATCATTGTAGAATGTTTTTTTTGCTGTTTTTCAAAAAGTTGTCACCCGGTACTTTTTACCCCATAGGCGCTGTAAAATGAGACGGCTGGGGTAAAAACAGGTCTAAAGTATTATTTTTAACTTTAAAGGGATTTTACAAATTTATGGTTACATTATTCAAACAATGCAAAATATAAATTCCATGGGTACATTTTTTACGGAGATAACACTGTATATAACAAAGATCTGGAATTTGACCAGAAATATTTATGAGCAAAGTTGGAATAACTATTTATTTAATTATTTTTTGTAAAATTGTTTTTTCCACCTTAATCTACTTTTACTTTTTCATTTACAATTTTTTGTTATTTTCGGTATAAGTTCAGTTGGTCCTTCAGACCTTAAGCACGTGTAAGGTTATATAAAAAAAATGTTGAATGTAAATTAAAATTGAAAATACATCTTTCAAAACAATTAAATAACGTAAATCTACTTAAAAATTATATTAAAGTATAGTAAATTAAACAAAAAAACTAACACCAAAACAAAATGTTTTTGTCATATGTTTTGTTTATTGCCGTTTATCTCCGACAGAATTGTTGCAAAAATCGATATGATGACTGGTTATTCATTATTTTTCCTATATTTTCTAATATTGTTGTTAAAAAAATTTAATTAACATCCCAAAGGAGAAGTTTATGTTTTCATCAAAAAATCCGATTCGCTAATTTTATGTTTTCTCGACGTTTCAAGCCATTTTGAATCGAATGAGACCAAATTTAGAAAAAGTATGTGTGTGTGTGTGTGTGTGTGAACAGATTTTTTGCCGTAAATCGACGTTTTCTCGAAAACGGCTGGGCCGATTTCAAAAATTTAGAAGCCAATTGATGAATCTCGACGAGGACTATCGTTTGTCAGTTTTGTGCGACGATCGGCCAAGCCGTTTCTTTATAAATCGCAGAAAAGTGAAAAAATTTTCGTCTACGTTTTAGCCCGCAATTCTGAATCGATTTTGAAAATCCAAAAACCGTTCGAAAGATATTGGTTGGGAATCGTGCTGATTAGTTTTTGGTAGAGATCGGCCGGGTCGTTTTCTTGTAATAAAGTTTTTAATAAAAATTTTTTGACTATTTTTATGATGATTTTTTTGACGGTAGATACTATAGTCTTCTAGATCATACTAAAATATTACGGCCCTACGACAATTGGTTTAACTTTGAAAATTCGTCAAAATTTGCAAAAATTAGTATCGTTTTTTTGGCTTTTGTCAAAATTAGACCTTTAATCGACGTTTTCTCAAAAACGCCTGAACCGATTTCAGAAATTTAAAAGCCATTTGATGTATTTCGGTGAGGACTCTCGTTTGTCAGTTTTGTGCGATGATCTGCCAAGCCGTTTCTTTGCAATTTGAAAAAAAGTGTTAAACTTTTCGTCCACATTTAAGCTCATCCTACCGAACCGATTTTAAAAAATCAAAAACTGTTTGAAAGATATTAGTTGGGAATGATACTGATTAGTTTTAGGAGAAAATCTACCGAGCCATTTTCTTGTAATTAACTGTTGAAAAAAAATTTAAGCCGATTTTTATGGATTTTTTTTTAGTGATTGTCCATTGTCTTATAGAACTTACTGAAATATTACGGCCTTACGACAAATAGTTTGATTTTAAAAATTCATCAAAGTTTGAGAAAATGAGTTAAAATTAAAATTAGACTATTTATTTGGTATAATGATAGAGTACTTGGTCTTGAACATAATAAACCATTAAAGTCCTTGAAACTGGCTCAATTATAAAAATTATTGATTTTTGAAAATTTGCTTTTAGAAAATACTCCGAGTCAAAGTGTTCGTTCGTTTTCAATTATGTGTAATAAATCCACTAGGAATATTTTTAATGACTTATAAATTAATATATTTTTTATTGATTAAGTCGATTATTTAAACATATCGGGAAGTTTATGTAACTTGCCTCAAGGCTAAGTACCAAACCAACTAGTTTTAGGTATTTGTTTTTGAGATATCAATGGTGGAATTTTTTCCACGGACCTCTAAGCTCGGCTCAACCCTATAAGTAAATTCACAGAGAGTATAAAGAACTAAATAGTTTATTTACAATGATATCGAGAAATGTGAGAATTTTTAGTTTTATTACATGCTTGGGAGCATAAATCTTATTATTAATAACGTAATTTGTATACTTGGTTAAACCTATTTCTCAATCTAAAAACTTTAAAACAAAAATTTATCACAAAATGAGGTAAATTTCGAAATATCTACTTTACCACTTATGTAAATATCATATTAAAGCACGATGATTAAGCTAAATATGTTAACGATGCATCCAGCTATAAGATAAGAGATGATATTCTATATAAATTTAATTATTCCCATAGAACTTTAGAAGCTTATTATTCAATAACAATAAACCTTCAACATTTCTGTTATATCCCAAAATACTATTATACAATTTCCATGTTTTCCGCGCGTGTAAGTAATATATATGACGTACACAACCGTCTAAGAACGCCTCGCTTTGAATTACTGATTCATAAAGCATTCCAATTCACACAGAACAACTGTTTTCATGTCATAATCAAATAAATAAACTTATATCCTCGTATTTACATATCTCATTCCGAAGTCGCGAAACAGATTTGCATCCGCGAAATAAATCCGAACATCATACTATAATTGACAGCGGAAAATGTATTTCAGGAAAACCAAGAAAGTTTTCTAATACTGTGCGAAATGTTTTCAGGACAGAGATTGTGTGGATGCAGACGCGTTTTGCTTTTGTTGTACCAAAGTTCTATTATATATTTTATGTTAATAAATCTAGGAAACTATTCGAAAAATCAAATATTGTATAATAGAATTTTATTATTGATCCAGATAAATTTAAATGTAATAAATATTATAAGCTTTTAAACTTTGTTTTAATTGATACTCAAATATATTCTCTAGAGTCTAGACTATTTTACCGATTGTATATGCATAAATTTATTACACAATAAAATATTGAAGTATACTATAAACAGTCTTAATAACAAAAGCGAATTTATCGATCTTATTCTCATTAATAGCGATCATAAATTCTTAGAATGTTCCTAATATAATATTAGAATATTCAATATATGTTTACTGTTTACATTTTCTTTTGTTTCAAAATTTCAAATAGTTGTTTTATTCTATAATTAAATACCTTAACACCCAAGTAACTTTTATGACGCTCATAAAATTTCCAGTAATGTTCAAGTCATATAATATTTAATTTTACTGAATTTGAGCATGTAATTAATCTTATCTATTTAAAAATTTCAAAAAATAGATTAATAACAAATAAAACAGTTCTTTTTGATAAACTTACCTTAGTAAATAGTAAAATAACGTAAAATTAATGCTTTAAAAAGTTTTCATGTTGGCGTTACAAAATTTGAGAATATTGATGTATTGACTTCACCTAATTCAACGATAATGAATGCATATATACTAAAAAATTCGTAAAAAATTTAATTTAGTATTTCAAAAGATTTATTAAATTGGGTTTTATTCGGAAAATTATTGAATATTTTATCATATTTCTAACCTTTGGATAAACTTTGACATTTGTCCCAAAAGACTGAATAAAGACAAATAGAGTTTAACCTTTTTTCTTATTCATCAAATTCTTATTCATTTCTAAATATAATTTAGAAATATTATATAACTGAAAGCATCAATAGTAATAATTCAGAAGTTTAGAAATTAAATTGTATAATATATTACTATGTTTTTATTTCAATATTATTGCTTATCAGTTTACTAGTTCAGTTATTAAAACATAATTAATTAAATCCATAATTAATTTTAACTTCTTGCAAAGTTATAGTTATTTTTTTATATATCTATACGTTTCAAATGATTCTGAATATTTTGGCATACCTTAAAAAAATGATGTATGTGTGTGTACGTGTGCGTGTGCGTGTGAGATCGTGTGTGTGCGGATACAATTTTTTGACGACGATTTCAAGAACGCGATCAACCAATTTGAATGATTTAAAAACATTCAATTCCTATTGATAAGGAGACGTGCTGATTAGTTTTTGACAAAGATAGGTCCAGTCTTTTTAATTCAGATTTTGAGAGAACGGTGCGTCCGATTTCAATAATTTAAAGAAACATTTTACTTGTATTAACAAAATGAATTAATGATTAAATTTTTAGAAGGCAGGTCCTGCGGTTTCGTAGATCTAATGCACAAAGTAAATAAAAAAGCCAATTGGCAGTCAAAACTGATCATCAAATTATCAAATATTTTATAGAAATAGTATAGATATATACCAAAATTTATAATATTTAACAATTAGAATTTTAAATTTGAGAAAAGTCAATAGATTAAAAAAACATTTTTTTAAAAAAAGTCTATTTTTTTTTTAAATCTCAAAAACCTATTTTTTTCAAAGTTTCCAAAATTTTTTTGAAAGTTCCAACAATTTTTCTAAAGGTACAATACCATGCAATATTTGTTAGATTCTAAAACTAATGGGGTGCATGGTATCGTGCCTCAAGGCAAATTGCTGGAACTTCCCTCTTTTTTTTAAAAAATAATTTTTGGTACGGAAAGTCCCATCAATTTGTTGCCATGCACCCCACTAGTTTGATGTTAATATTATTGCTTACCAGTTTTCGAGGTCTGAATGATTAGTGGAACCGTCTGGCCATTCTGGATAGCATACATATCGATCTTCTTCCACCAATTCGGCTTTAAATACCAGCAAGTTGGGGAACGATAGTATGACGCCAGCTATCCAGATAGCAGCCGCTATACATAGCGTCGCCCTGCGACCCATTCTAGGCCGGAGCGGATTCATTATTGCCATGTATCTGCAGAATAGAAAATTTTAGGGAATATAGTTACATATTATATCCATATATGAATGCAATGTACACATACACATATACACATACACATACGCATACACACATATATGATAACTTCAATATATTATTTTTTAAACCATTATTTTTAGAAAAATTATCATGTCGCAATATTTGAAGTTTTTTTAAAAAAAGTGTGCGCGTAAGGTTCACAAGTGATTGAAGTAAAACTTATTTGCTACTGGAAAGATGGCATTTAAGAAAAATAAATACACCATATAACAATTTTGAATAATGTTCATCAGTAATATAGTAACACTCGTGATGCACACCTTTATTAGTGTCAACCATTATACACAGTGGATTATGTTAAACAACGCCTAAACAAATATTGTTTTCGCAACTTTACTCATCGTGTTTGAAGAACTTCATGTAATTAAAATTAACATACATTCATTGACTGATGGTATTTTTTTACTTTTTCGCTAGCGATATAATCTTAATCTTTGAACAGCTTGTAATATCTGTCTTGCCTAAACAATATTTTTCATTTCAATAACTTCAAAGATTTATAGAAATTACGAATAATATAGAAATAATTTCTAAGGAACAGGGTAAAATATTATGGAATAGGGTAAAATATTCTTTTGATTCTAGCATTTTTCATTTAATCAAGATTTGTACAATGACGTAACTTTAAAATGTTTATTTATCTATGCCCATTTGACATCAGTAAGCATACAACGACAGATCTCTGTTCGCGACGACTAATCACAATAGACCCGTACAGAAATGATATCATCGAGAGCAAATGACGAATCATTGGCACTCGACTTTTATCTTATCTGCCGTAACGCTATTCCGTTGCATTTGTACGGATTTACACCCTAGTCGCGCCTAAAGAAGTTTTACTTCAAAAAATAATCTGAATTATTTAATTAAAATTACAAAGTGCCAAACATTTTATATATCTCTGAAATTTTAAGCATTATCGATTTGCGAAAGAGAAACATTTGAACCGAATATGTATTAGCCGTTGTCCTGTAATTTTTAGGTTTGAGTTTATATTCAAAATGTTTCAATGATAGGATTATTAGGTATTCTATCATTTTATAATTCTGATTAAATGCGACAACTTATGATGAAATTTGCGATCATACTTCAGTACATTTTTTTAGAAGAGGGCCTATAAAATCGACCTATAGTAAAAAAGTCTTGATTTTTGAAATCTTGTGGCAATTATGTTCTTATTTTTCAGTGAGGTTATAGAAATGTTATTGACGCTCACGATTCCAAAACTAATGAAATAAAATTTAACCACAATAATCGAAACATTGTCATATTTTCACCAAAGCTTTCACTGGGGCATCCTACTTATGACTATCTTTGGTATATATAATAGAGTGCAATGTACATGTCTAGTTTATGAACTAAGTTAAACTCGAATTTAGGTAGAACTTAGTATCAGAGATAGTTTACAATAGTGTTAAATTTAGGTTTACTGCTCTGAATGTAAAGTTTATTGCTTAAATTTAGAAGATATGTTAGCATAACCCCGAGCGCATTCCATAAATTATACTTTACGAATTTGATGATACGTCTATGACTGATTAAAATTTAGTCAGTCCATCAAATTCAGATAATTTGAAGTTCCAATTTATAGTTTCTGGTTTCAAAATGCTAGTTTCTGGCATTTTTAATAAAATATTCAGAGTTTCTGGAACAAATGGAAAAGTGATGTCATTTGTATCCACAGAAAAAGAATATTGCCAGCATAAAGATGTAAAATACTTAATTAGTTTTATAGAAGTATTGTCGTCTGTAACACAAGTAGTATTAGAAATTTAATAAAAAATAGTATTTTTTTATGTTTTGTGTATCATTATATAATCATCATGTTCTCATCTCATGCATGCCGCAAAGTGTATACAAAGTATAATTTCAAAAGAATTAATTATGTAACACATGTGCTAATGGCAGGTATTTAATTAAAGCATCACTGATTATTCATTTCTCATTTTGTTTTGTAAATTTTGAACGCACAATATTTTTTTATTTTTTATAACCAGCAACAATAAACAATATAAAGCTAATATGTCGGTATATAAATATAATTATATAAGAATTTCAACTTTTTTAATTTTATCAGGTACATTTTAAGATGATATCCAAGAACTTCTTAATAACTCAGCTATAGTTACTACATTATAATTTCAAAAAAGTTACATCAACAGATTTTGCAAAATAACTAGTTTGAATGGCTCTTCTTATCATGTTTGTATTCTATAATTACTTCAATAAACAAAAAATCAATTAACCGAAAAATGATTTAACTTGTGAAATTTATCATTAGTATTCAACTTGGCATATCACATCACCAAGTTACATGTTCAATTAATTTAAATGAGTATAATTAAGGCCCAAAAGGTCTATAAATCCACCAAGATGGATTTACGGCCTACCAGGATAGACTAATATATGCTGAAACAAAATATCATTTTGATGTAAGGGCGTTTATAATATCGCTGAATTCCGCTCGCAATTATTCAGGGAAGCATCTGGTTCAATATATTTATATGTTCCGCGTCCGTTCTGTCGTAAATTAACTTCACAGAGCTGAACTGCGTTTACGACAAAGCCAAATACATTGTTTCAAATAATAAATGTAGTTATATAAATTTTATTTTATTAACTTAAAAAACTTTCGATTCGTATTGACGGGAAATCGTGCTGATTAATTTTTGGCAAAGATAGGTCCAGCCGTTTCGAAGATACGTAAAAAAACTGCAGAAAATAGCAAATCCGTTTTTGAGAGAACAGAGCAGACAATTAGGATAATTCATAAAACATTTGATTTGTATCGATCGACAAAATAGTTGATTACATTTCTGTAATAGCAGGTCCAGCGGTTTTGGAGATACAGAAAAAAATGCAAAGAATAGCAGTTTTTGATTAGATTAGATCGATTTAAAAAGCATATTACCTGTGATGATAGTGTTTGTTTATTATATTTTGTATTCGTTTAACGATAAACATATTTGAAGGGTTGTCGCCCTAATATAAGCTCTTATATTATATCAAATTACGACGATACAATTTACAGTAATAATTATTTTAAAATAATTAAAACAATTATTTTCACTCATTCATTTTTTTTATTGATGTTCAATCTTTATTTTTTGTTAATGTTTCATTACGGTAGAGAAAGTTCTAGCAATTTGTCAAGGGATGATATTTTGAACCTCTAGTTCATTTGTTTCAATAATTGATTACTTGATGGAGTAGATAATTGATTTTTGATACAATTAACATTTATTTTTTTTTACTTTTGTAAAGTCTCAATATGAATAGTTCAATTGTCAATAAGATAAAATTCCTACAATTGAAAATGAAAGTTGAAATAAAGAAAAAAAAATAAACACAAGTAATGTTATATGTATTTATTTATCATTTATTAATTATCATTTCTTCATTATTATATTTTTATTATTATATTTTTATTATTATTTATTCATTATTATTTATTCATTATTATTTATTCATTATCATTTATTCATTATTATTTATTCATAATTACTCATTCATATTTATTTATTATTTATTCATTACTATTTATTATTTATTTATTACTATTTATTATTCATTCATTACTATTTATTATTTATTCATAATTATATATTATTTATTCATTATTATTATTATTTTTATTTTTTATTTTTTATATTTTTTATTTTTTATTTATTATATATTATAATTCATCATTTATTATTAGTGTTTATTATTTATTTATTGTTGAATTTATTTATTATTCATTTAGTACTACTTACTTTTAGTTAAGTATTTTCACAATATAAGCATTAAATAGTAATAAATAATTTTACAGTAAAAATATTTTTGTTTAACAAATTTATGTTTGTCGATGACTATTTTTTTGCATATAATATATCAATCTTGAATCTGTAAATAATTTTCTTTGTAGGTATATATTTTTCACAATCATCAATTGTGGAAGTTTATAGAGCAACGATAAATTTAAAATACTTTAAAAACTTATAAAATTTATAAAATAATAATTATAGATATAAATATAAAATTATGCTAATTACTAAATAATTATGACTAAATAATTTATGTTTCACTAAACTAGTTTAATGTTACTTCTAATTATACAGTGCCACGAAAACCTGTTTCTCTATCAAGAAATAAATCTATCTACACAATTTTATAATTTTATAATTATATCATAAACCATATACTGTATCATACCTGAACATCTTGAAGAAATTTATAATAATTATGATTTTTTCCATAATAAAATTAAATTAAATGGCTGTTTATTTTTTTATTTTTATTGTTATTTTTTTACTATTTTTCATGCCATTTGCTGGATATTTTGAAAACGTAGCGAAAAGCTTAAAGTTGTACAAAAGTCGAGAAAATTTGAAACTATATACAAGCTGTGAAAAGTAACGTAAACTCTAGCAATAAAAACTATGAGAGTAAAATGTTCATGAAAGTTTATTAGATGTAAGGCAATACAGAGAATATATAAGTCTGAAATATTTATCTGAAGTGCAAGTTCTTACTTGGAAAATATCTTAGTTCTTACTTTATTCTTATATTTTATAATATTTTGTGAAAGTATAACGTGAAATTTATTACAATGGTTGAGGTCGAGTATACTAAAATCTACTTTATTTAAGTCAGACATGTGCTTGAGGAGATATAGCGGATGGTGAAATAAATTGTACCTAAATATATATTATGGCTATTTTAATTTAGAAAAAAGTTCTGGAATTTCCATAACAACGCTCTGTTATCGGTTATGTTACCTTAGAATTGACCCCTTAATATAATTTTTTAAATTAAATATTGATAAACATCTAATTAACCATTGAAATATTTTATAGTATCTATTATTCAAATGAAATAATAATTTTATTAAAATTTATTTACACGCATGTGAGAAGTTATAAATTAGGCATAATTCTAAAAAAATTCCAGAA